AAAGAAAATAAAAACAAGATATTGAACGAAGTTTTGGAAAAGTTCGCATCAGATACAAGAAAAATATTGCTAAAATAAGAAAACATAAATGCATAATATAATATGTATTTTATATCTATAATATATATATATATCGATTTTTTGAAAAATGTCATCGTTTTTTGAAAAAAATGTCCTCGTTTTTTGAAAAAAATGTCCTCGTTTTTTAACTGACTTGCCCCCCCCAACCGAATTCTTGGCGACGCCCCTGACCGAAAACAAAACGCAGTTTGTCTTCAGGTTGGACCATTCGGCATTGTGAATCGTGAGCTATTCAAGATTGTAAGTGGATAAAGTCTTAAAAGTAAATACTGGTGTTCATTTCTTTTATATAATGCCGCTCAAATCAAATCTGTCACACTTTTGTCTCCTTTCAAATCAATTTCCTACGCAGTGACTTATTTTTTATGAAAAATGTCCGATAATTTTGTATTTATGTTTTTCAGATTTCAAACAAGGTCTACACGTTTATAATGTTTTTGAAGAATTTTTTTGCATGAATTTAAAGCTACAACAGTTAAACCTCTATCACATGGTGACGCATAAAATGTCCACTATCTCAAGATGTTCACATGTTTTACTAAGTTTGGTTTTTCCCTTTCCACTATTTGGAGGTTTCATGCAATTTTTCAAAATAACTGCTGCTCACTTGAATCTTAAATGAAGTTATCTTTGCCTTTTCAATCAATCAACATGAATTCGGTTTTTTCTATGACTCACTTGATTTTGAAGTGCAATGACCGCAGCATTGATTTCGAAATATGAATCTGGGAATTTTTATTATTCATAATGTGAAAATATGAATTCATGAGAATTCACATATCCGCTATATTGATTAAAATTTTTACGCAAATTGCGGCTCACCGATAAGAGATACGACATATACCAAAATTAAATGTTAATGTAAATGGAGTTAGTTCAATTTGAAATTTTCTTTGCATTGAACATTCTAATAAAATTATTCGAAAAGTGAACATGCTTCTTAAAATAAAAATCTGTTTCGCACTGATTGTGCTAACGTTGTGTTTGATTTCAATTGAAACGATCTACGGCAAGCCAACCGACGAAGAAGATTCTGATATTAATTCATTTGATACTAGTAACGACAGAGTGAAGCGTGAACATGGCGATTGCGAAAACCGGAAGTTTGGATGTAACGATGGTAATTGCTGGGAACAGTGTGAATCTTTCACTCAAACAAGATTTGGGGATGACCTTGTCAGTGGATCAAGTTTCTCTTCCCGACAGTCCCATACTGGTTGTAGCTCGAACGATGAGTGTAAAAAAATTTGAATAAAAATTTGTTCTGTGAATTAAATCACTTGTCCAAATTATATCATTTGGCCTATTCAAATATTATCTATTATAAATATTCAAACATGTAGAACATTTTTTACTAGGGACTCGAAAGTTGAAAAAAAAAACTTCACATAAACACAGTTTTGTATGAGTTGAAAATATAATGGCAAATATTTCAGAATTTACGTGGTTATTCAGATAAAATGCTCGTATAAAATACTTTCGAGCCCCTAGATTTTTTAGATACAGACATTTTTAAAGTTTGTAAAAATGAAACAAGTGTTAACTTTATCCCTTTTAAATAAAACTCATATACTGCACTAGTAAAATTGTAATGCATTTTAGTGAATTTAAATAAAGTCTGAAGTTCAATTTAAAAACATTTACACTGGCTTGCGGTTTTTATCGATCGAAAATTAGTCGATTTTATTCAATTAAAAGTGATGGTATATAAAACTTAAAGTGTTCCAACAAACGTACTTCGTTTGATCAAATTGTTGCTAGATAAGGACCGCTGTTTTTTGAAAAAATATTTCCATCATTCATCAATAAATGATGGAAGGAATTGAGAGTTTCGTACCTTATAGGGATGTAACATCATGAGTTTTCGACTTCCAGAACACTTTGGACCAGATCAGATCCACCTGCTTCTCAAGATTCGCTCACTCAGTTTACTTTATAGTATCATGTGAGATGAAGCGAGATCAAATGAGCTGGAAGTGAATCTTCAGAAGCAGGTGGATCCGATCTGATCCAAGGTGTTCTAGTTCTAGTATTATCACTCGATTACATTCTGGATTTTTAGTCCGAATTTCTGTTTTAATCTTATCTTTTTCATTGAACATTGACCTTATTTATAATATTTGACTCATTATCTCACAACAAATAATACGTCATCATGAATAATAAAAAAAACAGATTCGCATTTCCAAATAAATGCTGCGGTCATCAGTGAGTTATATAAAAAACTGATTTCATATATTGACGATTGTTTATTTGAAAAAGCAAAGATTACTTCATTTAAGATTCTAGGAATTCGGTGTGAAAATCATCAACGTTTTCTATACATCGACTATTTGAAATAAAGAATAATCTGAAAAACAATTGTTGAAAATCGACAAAAATTCCAATCATTGAAATGACTGTTTTCTTAAAAACTGGAATTTTTCTTATCTTGATCCATTGAATTGATTTTTATATTTGTAAAAGGTAGATTCGTAGAACTGAAAAAGGAACCTTTGCATTATGTGTACGTCGGTAAAAAGTAACCACCACACAAGTTATCAAAATAACTAGTGAACATTTCATCAACTTTGAAAAATTAATCGACGCTTTAACATTAGCTTTATTAGTAAAATTTAGCAGTTTTATAAATTCGCCTCCAAGTAGGCAGCAGTTGTACGTGTGTAATATTTTCTGTGGATTCTGTTCATATTTTTTGTCTATTAAATTTATTCCTTTTCTAAAGTCTTACATTTAATCAATGTTCTACTGGCATTATCTATTTTGTCTTTTGCCTATCTTAAATAAAGTATATATTCTTTGTTTTTTTTTTTGTTTTTTTTTTGCAATCAATGCACTTTTTTCTATAACTCACTTATGACGGTAGCATTGGTTCAGAAATGCGCATTTTCTGGGAATTTTTATTATTTGACGTTGTGGAAATATAGGTAAAATATTATAAATAAACGTGTAACCAACTAATGCATATCAGTAAAGTGTGAAAGGTCTGTGTTTAATGAAGAAGATAAGATCAAAACAGAGATTCCGACTGAAAATCCTGAATGCAATCGAATGATAACACAAGCAAAATAGACAAATTGCATCGATCAGTTGTTCTTTCATCGCATAATCAATTAAAATCGAATATTATTCTCATTGATCTTGGATTTTCCCTGTGTATGTATACTATTTTTTTACTCTTGAACAATGTCAAAAGGTGTCTATTTAAATGCACCCGCAAACTAACTCGAATTAGTTCAATTTGCAATTTTGTTTGCATTATACATTCTAATAACATTATTCGTGCGGTGAAAATGCTTTTTAAAGTAAAATTCTGTTTCGCACTGATTGTGTTAACGTTGTGCTTGATTTCCATTGAAACAGTCCACGGCAAACCAACGAGCGGAGAACTCAAAGAAGCCTCTGATATTGAATCGTTTGATTTTAGTAACGAAAGAGTTAAGCGTCAGTATGAGGATTGCGGAAACCGGAAATTTGGATGTAGCAATGGTTTTTGTTGGGAACGGTGTGAATCTTTCACTCAATCAACAAATGAGAATGGCTATTCCAGGTCATCAAGTTCCTCTTCCCGACGGTCATATACGGGTTGTAACTCGAACGATGAATGCCGATGATTTTTTACTAAACATTTGTTTTGTGAAGTAGTACAAAGAAATTTTTTTAGATACAGAATTTTTTTAAGCCTGCACAAATGACACAATTGTTAACAATTCTCCTTTTAATTAAAACTCGCAGAAATTAAATGCAATATTATGATGCTGTTTAGCTTTACAGTGAAATTGTAATTGAATTTTGATGAATTTAAATAAAGATTAGTTTGCTAGCCAAAATACTTTTTAATCTTCTTGATGAGCAAAAAAAAATGCTATTTACACACAATGGACGTAGCGCCAAGCGCCTATCACTGAATTTTGAAGCAAATTTGATACTTCAACATATTTACGTTTCAACAAAATACGAATTTATTGCAATGCAGTAGTCAATGCAAAAATAGCTGCGAAAATAGTCAATTAGTTTTTTGGTTTTTTTTTTAAGTTTTGGTCTGGTTTTAACTTTATACGAATGATGCTACAATCAAGCGCGGGTCATTTTGTATCACTGACATTCGACGCTTGACTTTTTCATAAATTCCGGGAACAAAAAAATAATACCTACAGCTGTAAGAAAAAAAAAACAATTTAAAATCGACAATAAGTGTGTCCTGACAAATCGAAAACGGTTTCAGATTGATCGTCCAGTAAAAGTGCTGCAACATTCGCACCAACTACATTAATACCCGTACAACATCACTTGTACCACAAACAGCAGATTTCAATGTCGAACATTATGTGAGAATATACAAGCAAACAAACGACGACTGAATTTATTATTATTTTGGTGTGTGCCTGTATGTCTGCGTTTATATTCAAATCGGTTACAGTGTGAACGGGTAGACGTTGAGCTATCGCAAGATTTACAAGCAAGCCTTCGGTCCAGCCGAATGTATAGTCGAAAGTGAGGAATGTTCATAGGATATTTGTTTGAACATGATCAGAAAACGCCGTTGCAAAAATCTAATATAAATTGTTCTTATTTAGATGGTCAACTTTATACTTTATGGCAAAGTAGCCGATCCAATTTCGTTTTATCGCATTCTCATGATGTTGATGAAATTCTCAGAAACAATGAAATTTGATTCGTCTTATGGAATTATAACCAATTTGTTTGTGTTCGTGTTTATACAGGAAAGAACGTTGACAAATTCAAAGCATAAGAGAGGAATATTTATGATTCTTGGTACAATGTTTGCTTGGTTATTTCTGCAACATTATACACAAAGTGTGAAATGTGTGCAGTTGTTTTGGTGGAAATATCACGCGCATACAAGATCGTCACTGCATACAATAAACGAAATCGGTTGAATGTTGAACGCTATCTGTTCAATGAACAGTATTCGAAGAGACACCGACGTGTTTGGACGCAGACGTGTTGTTGTGCATAAGATTCTGTTTTGTAAAAATTGCCCGACCAAAATAATCGATGGCAAAATAATAACCAAGTGAATGTGGTGAATCCAAACAGCAATTAAACAACATCGAAAATGGCATCAAACACTTTGAACGATGAATCATGGATCGCAGAATTTTATCAACAACTTTCATCTGGTATTCATGTGTCCGACAATTTGTTCATCGAATTTGATCGCACGCAAAGTGATAAATCATGCTTAATTTTCGTTCAAAACCACACATCGCAACACCAACGATTGATGTCCGTGCATATCGATTTGCCGACAGTCAAATTACGCGAGGAATTGCCAATACAAATAGAATCAAAAAGTGATATAATACTCAATGTCGATGCGGCCTATATTCCGAATAAGTTCTGTTCGGTTGCAAAAGTGTCTTTCAATTTCGAAAATAGTAAAATTGTGCGGCGATCAATTCGAATTACTTATCGTCAAAAAGGACCGGTCATTCCACGAAGCGATTACGATGCTCCGATTGAATTCATTGAATTGATGTCTGACCATCAAATGCATCACGACCAATTGGTGGCCATTTTGGATTGTCAAATATCCACGATGCATGACAACTACGCACATTTTTTTCATTCGTTGTTGTATTTAGAGGAAGTGGGACAGTTACAAGACTTTAAAAATAAATACAGTCAAACCAGAGCGGTATTCAATGACACCGATCGTCGTCGAGAAAATGGAAGAGACATTCGAACAAAATATCCACGGGGTATTTACGATTTGCAAGTGAGCGAACTGTTTGAGACACGTCCTTCGCTTAAAATTGGTAATCGATATGAATCTGTGGAAAATCTTGAACAAAAAATTAATTCGTTCATATTTTCAGGTGACAAAGTTATTGCGCGTGCACATTCTACGCTGACAAAATACGAAGGCATTATTATCAAAATGAAAGACGATGACTTGCTGATTATACAGTTTGGTGATGATTTCGTCAACACATTCAATCATCTAGATTATTTTGTGGACTTTTCTGTATCACGTTCAACCATCATTCGGCAACATTTTGCTATCGATTTGGCTGTTGAATTATTTGGCATCGAGTTTCTTATGCCAAATGGTGTCAGTTTGCGTGAAAAAAATCGCACAAATGTGCACATGAATAGATGGTTCAATGGCAATTTGAATTATCATCAACAAAAGGCAGTGAAACAAGTTCTACGAGGCAATTTACTGAATCCATACATCATTGTCGGTCCACCAGGTAATTAATTTTTTTTGTTTAAAATTTCGTTGAAATTTTCAATTTTAAAATCAAATTGTAACACTTGTTCAAGGAACGGGAAAAACCACAACGCTCCAAGAAATCGTTTTACAAATAGCGACCATATTCATGGACAGCAAAATTTTGATCATTACTCAAAGCAACAGTGCCGCCAATCTCATAACCGAGCGTCTGGTTCAGGAAAATTGGGAAGATTCGCTTAATTTAATACGTTTGATTTCGTTCAATTACAAAAATCGTCAAGATCGTCAAAATGCTGCACACCACATGATACCGAGTGCGATTCGCGATTATTGTAAAGGCATCGACGATTTGGAGCCGGACAGAGAGATGCGATTCATCGAACGATTGGAACTAATAAAGAAATTTCGTGTTGTGATTGGTACATCATCAACGATTGCACAATTGCTGGAAGGACACAATCTTCGGAATCACTTCACACATGCCATAATCGATGAAGCTGGTCAGTGCACCGAAATAGACGTACTTGTGCCGATGGTGCTTGTTGGCAAAGTGGGTCAAATCATAATGGCAGGTGACCCAAATCAAATGCCACCTCTCGTCATTAATAAACACGCAAATGATCGTGGATTATCGATTTCAATGCTCAGCCGTCTTATCGAATGTTATGCGGAATTCGATGAGGTAAGAACATTTCACATTTTCATCTTCAAATTTTGCAAACTAAATCATGTTTTTTTTTTTTTGGATTAGGATAATGGTTTATGTTTGATTTCAAAATTGGTCAATAATTACCGTTCGTTACCGTCAATTTTGGATTATTGCAACACACTTTTCTACAAGTCAGAACTGATTCCAATGATTCATGAACGAGACAGTGACGAAGCCAGAATATTGAAACACATGGTCGGCATTTTTCCGGACATTGAAAACGCTGGCGATTATGGAATACATTTTGTAAATGTTGAAGATGGTCACAATCAAAAGAAGGAAACTTCATGGTTCAACATTGAAGAAGTTCAGGTGGTAAGTTGTGATTTTGTTTTTGATCGATTTGAAATTAGATATATGAATTATTTGATTTAATTAACAGATGAGACAAATTGTCGTAAGTCTGCTGGGAAAACTGAAGGCTTTTGGATTAAATGGGGAAGAAATTGGTATCATAACACCGTATGCCATGCAATCACGAGCTCTGAAAAAGTGCTTCGAAAGCATTTCAGATGACATAAGAATTGGTACAGTGGAAGACTTTCAAGGCTTAGAACGACAAATAATTTTGATATCGACGGTTCGAACATGCCAAGCCGCTGCCATAATCGACACAACCAGAAGATTGGGCTTCGTTAAATGTCCAAAACGTATCAACGTAGCTATGTCACGCGCACGGTAACTATCAGAAATCATATCGCAACAAATTAATTGGATGGCACATTTTAAATCAATAACTTTTAAATCATTTCAGTGCAATGGTAATTGTAGTCGGAAAAGCAGAGCTACTGTCACGCGATATGCATTGGAAGAACTTGATCGAAGGATGCAAACAGCAGAATACGTACCGAACCATGAATGGACGAAAACCTTACTAAAACTCATGGCGAATTTCAATTGCTATTAAACTACGTTTCCTAATGATTCACAGCACTTTTTTAATGATTTGAAAGCAAACACAAATTCTGAATTAAAACATATTGAATAGACAAAAGTATGAAAAACTATTAAAATACGTAATAAAAAACATTTGCGCCGACTTTACATCCACTTTTATCGGAATGAATTTTTTTTTGTCGTTTTCATTTTTCAATTGAAAGAGTTTCTGACCCTGAAAAAATAGTGGTATATTGAACGTAACCATTAGTTGACATTCATCATAAAATACAAGCAATTCAAGAAAACAGATACAGACATTTAGATACAGACATTTTTTGAGCCTGTAAAAATGACACAATTGTTAACTTTTCCCCTTTTAAATAAAACTCGCAGAAATTAAGTGCAAAATTATGACATGTTGCAGCTTTACAGTAAAATTGAATTTTAATGAATGTGAGTAAAGGTTATTTTGCTTAAAACCATGCTTGAAAAAAAAGTTCATAAATTTATCGTTTTTCTCACACAGTCTCTTGACCCAGAAGCTACTCATTACTTTAACAACATAAAGTACAAGAACTTCAAGAAAAAAAAATTAAACTAATAAAGAAAAAAGTTGGAATTTATTTCATTCAATTTCATTGAAGGAGTTCATCTGAGCACTCAAAGCGAGCATTAAAAACACACTTGAAAAATGTGAATGAAATAAAATATAAATAACTTCAAAATGATTATAACATCAAAAAACTGTTATAAAACAAGCATGTATAAAATGGAATCGGAATGAATGATTACAAGGCGTCTAAGACAATGTTGCAAATGTAGTATAGTTATGATGCAACTCATGGCTCATGTTCATGTGAGTTTTTCTACATCTGCGAAAAACGTGAATTGCTCGCTCTGTTGCATTCGAAATTTATTCGACGTAAGATGATGTTGAATTATTAAAAAGCATTTTGAGTGAAGCAATAGCCATTCAGATGTAGGTTGTTACATGAGATACTTTCAAACTTGCAATATACAGGAAATATGGCATATCTTTTTTTAATGATGGAGCAAAATTATTCATTCCGTTTCCTTTTCACTCACAGCAAATCGTATCCGGTGACGTCAAAGATGTACAATATTTGATAGCAATTTGCAATTTGTAGCAATAAATTCGTTTTTTTTTTTCTTTTAAATGTCTTCTCTTCAGCAAATGTATAAATAACGCATAAAGTTTGATTCACAATGGTGTATCATCATCAGGCATGATCCCATGTAAACGATGGGGGTGAATAGTAATCGGTACATGTACTTGCAGTTTTCAGTTCTTTCACTTCAAATTATTACGACCAGCAAAATAAAATTCGGGGTGGAGATAAGGAAGAATACAAAAAGAGATGCCAAAAATGGACTCATTCAAAATTCGGGAAAGATAACAACAACAATAACATCAACATAATACAATAGAAATAAGCTGAACCTTTTATAAGCACATAACGTTTATCTCTATTTTTCACAACTTATTACGGAATCACATCGACAGTTTATATCTTTGCAGTTGCGACGCATTTATTATGTGTATTGCTATTTAGCCGTTGACCAAGAATGGCATCAAAGATATAGGAATGTCAATATAGTAAGCGCATCCGTTCTTGCTGTTTTTTTTTCTTTTTCTTTTTTTGCTTTTTCAAATGTTGCTGATAATAATGAATTGAGGCGAAAAGGAAAAATTCCCATTTCAAAATCGCCAAATGGAAAATTGAAGCGGAAAAAGCAATAACGGATTTGTGTTCGTTGAATACAAATGAATGAATTTCACCACACACACACAGACTGTTGCCACACCATTGCCGCTCAACAATATATCCGGCACAGCAATGTGACAAGTGTGTGATTGCCAACGAGGGGAGAGAGAGGGAAGCGACCAATGTGTTTCTGACTGAGTGGCTAGCGTGCTGGATGCTGGTTGTATTTTACCGAGAAGATTTTCTCATAAAAATATCTACATGTTAACGAATTTTTCAATGGACAAACATTTCAAATAAATGAAATGATCAATAAACTTCAATATGAAAATCAAATTGTTCATAGAAAATACAGCATATCGTTGTTTTTGTAAATTTCAAAAAATGTATATCTCTCTCACTCCAAGCATACTTTTAACTTGTTTTTCGTCAAAAATTCCTATAGTTTGGGCAAGAAAAGTGCAAAAATACTTCTCGAACCAGCAAATTCCAAGTGTCTGTCGTTTAATTTTCACCGAAGAGCACCGAGCGAGCGAAAAAACTCATATTAAATGGATGCAGCTTCTTGTAATCATGTATCAAGATCTATTTACGGATGCTCCGTGTTTACTTGTACTCACAAGTGTTCGAATGTGCTTTTGTCATGAATACGGTGTTTGAATTATGTCGAGATGAGACAGGCTTTTAAAGTTCAAATGCTATCATTGTCACAAAACAAGCAACGACGACGCTTTTTTCCGCAATGAAATAGAGATGCCATACTACATTTTCCGCATCCCAAAAAATATTATTCAATACAATGCAAATCGTTGTGTAATATGTTGAAATTTATTCCATAATCCAGTCGTTTATTTGTATTATTCATAGAGAATATGTACATATATTCACGGTGGCGGATGTTATTTTCTTTAGATTAGAGAAAAGAGGAGCGAGCAAAAATATGTGACTGTGGCACATCCGTGAAAAAGAAAAGAAGATGTTTTCGGTGTACATTACCACGATGTTTCTTTTTCGGCGAATTCAAAAGCAAACACACAACACTTGTGTGTACCCGGTTTGACATATCAAACGACCAATGTCTTTTTTTGCGGATGCGGCAACCAATGTCTTGTCTCAAGTTCTTTGACTTCAAAACTACGACGGAGATGCGCTTTTTTCGGTACTTGCTATCTACCTCTTCGTAGTGTATTTATTAAATATATGTTTTGCATTCAATGTGTCGCCTGTGCACACTATTTTGAACTTGAACTTTTCAAGAAGTCGTTTGATAAAATCGAAACAATGAACATAACTAAACAATATATATAGAAAAGTTTAGCCATGCAAAATGTCCGCTTCGTATCAAAGAAAGTTTCTTATTCCAACGGATTTCTGAGATTGTTGAACAACAACATTTCTATCAACTTCTAAAACCGGTCGCTTTATATGAAAATGTAGAAAATTGAATAGATAACATCTTTAAATTCGTATAAATTGAAGACGTTTAAGTCAATCGAAGAGTAATGCGTATTTTATTGCCATCATCTTTCTTCTGGCTTCTTTGGAGTTTAGATAAAGAAACAAGCAATTTATATACGGGATTTAGTGGGTGTAACGATAGTTTCAAGTGAATTTTTGAGCTACGCCCAATAACTTTTGTCAAAGTGATTTCACCTCCGGCAGAAAGAAAACCACTTTGACTTTTGGTTAGAAGAGAAATTGTCACTCTTTTTACTTAAAGCGATCCTTTTGACGATTATAATTCAAAAATCAATTTTTCCACACTAATTCCGTTTAGTTATTCGAAACCTTTATTGTAGACTTAAAAACGGGATAAAACTAAAAATCCCTTCCGTCATGATATTTTCCGAATGCAATTTACGTATTTAAAATGGTATTTGCAATCAATTCCAACTTTCACCTTAATAAAAAAAGAAGTCCTCCGCTCAATAGCTATTTCTTACCTATTACATTTAATTTGATGCCAAAAGCCTAATTTCATTGTCAAAGTTCGTATTTGCATTCAAACGCTACGAAATTGTGTACGCAAAATAAATGGCACAAGGGTCGAATATTCCGTGATGAATGTAGAATAAATTTATTGCTGTTTACACAAAATGATACCTGCTAAAGAAGCAAAAACACATCGTTGATTCCATTGCGATCAACATCGGTCGGCCATCGTGTGAGATAAGGGCGTGGATGTAGCACTTCATAAAGGTTTATGTAGCAAAACCTTAAGCATATCGCGTCTGAGTGTCTTACAATGTGCGTGTTAAAATAAAATCGATAAACTCATTCAATCGTCGGCAAAAGTGGAAAATGCCAAAGAAATTCTTCTCGCATCGACTTTTACCCCCAAAATGTATTAAAATTACTTTCTTCGCTTCCCGAAGAAACCGAATCATATTTTATATGATTTTTGCGTTCTTTCGTTGTGAATCTGGGCCGATTGAGCAATGCAATGCAAACCCATTAAATTGGTAATGGCCATTCAGCTTTTTCATCCTTCAAGAAATATCCCGGCAGAAAAAAAATCAATAAAATCGCGTATAAAGCAATTCGGCTAGAGCAAAAAGAGACGAAACCAAAATAAATTCAACTGAAACCGGCATTATTTACACTCTGTGTTCCGAGAGGCTCGTCGTAAAAATTGGCAAAACACAGCGGTAATAGAAGTCTCTGCACACGTGCATCTTCACGAAATTGCTATAAAGTAAACGAAATCCGAGAAGAAGAGAAAAAAAACTCGTCCCTGCGGATGAATAGAAAGTAAGCACGCCAGGCCCGAAACGTTCAAATATTTCTTCATTTTGCTACCTTCGAATTTTCCTAACACTCAACCGGATCCGGTGTATTGACGGCTCCCCCTTTTCGACAAACACTATCAACATATTCAAGTTTGTTTCGTTTGCTGTAGCAAAAACTTTGTAGTACAAAATATCAAAACACACAAACAAACACAAATATTATGACGGTCTCAAAGTTTGTCTCGGCATTTTCGTTGCATTTCCCTGTGCAACATTCTTATTGTAAAAACAACTGAGACGACTTACAAACTTACTTTTTGTGGCTTTTTTGTGTGTATCTTTCGGTGTGTGTGTTTTTTTTTATTGTCGTAATAAAGTTTGGTGCTGTTGCTGTGCCAAAATAAAAATCCCAAACGTTGGCTGCCGATGGATCTTTTCCGATTCGGTTGAACAAATTTAATTAATTATGATTTATTTACGACACTATTAGCAAAATGTAATTGGATGTCAATATCCATTTCCGTCTTTGTTGCACTACCGAATCTCTCACACAACATAAATCAAATATCAATATTTGGCCAGTATCTTTCAATGTCTGTTCATTTTATCACAAACATGAATGAGTTCATAGTGAATTTCATTTATCCGAATACACAAAAACACACAAAATTATATGATATTTTGTCGTTGATAAATGACATCGTAATGTTTGTGACAGTGAATTGTGGCGGATCAATTCCATTGTATCCACTATCAAAGTCGTTTTATGTGCGAGTTTCATTGGATTACAAACCAGTGCGAGTTTCATTGCAGTGCCAAAATCCCACCAAATTCACGATAAATATTGTGGTGTTGATGAATCGGTATCATCAAGTTCATCTCATGAATTCCACCACATAATTCGTTGATTGTTATTTGCGTTATGTAATGCCGAAAATGGTAACGATTTAATGAGACATTTGATATCGACATCACAATCGATTCAAACATTCCACACTAAAAAAGGCCCGAAAAGCCGTAAAAAAATTCAGGGCGATCATTGTATTATTTCGGCAGGATTATTGCAATATCTTGAATATATAAATAAAAAAAGAGTAACATTTTGATATGCAAACGACAACTGTATTCATCATTTAGTCGTCCATAAGTGTTTGAGTGTAATACATATGTATATATGGAAAGTAGGGCATAAAAGAAATGCGTTTGTAAGCCGAAGCAATTGAATCTACGATTAAGCAATTACAGCGAGCATTTAATGGTCCTTTTGAATGTGAAGTCGTCATGTTTCAATTTCCGAGTGCACATACTTACATATCGAACATTGTAGGGTGATGCGGTTTCTATTTCATTTCAATTACATCGTTTTGAATGGAATTACCAGTTTCTTGGCATAAAAAGCGACATAAAAAAACACGCAGCGAAGCAATTTTGTGCATTCCAATTCGTAACCCATATACTTGCATTGTGGATTATTCAACTTCTGTTCACTGTCATGTGACGAATCTATGATTCGTCAGAGTTTCTCGTCTGCCATCGACTAAATATCTTCGCATCCGAGCTCATTGGCAAATTGACGATGCATGTAATATTCGAGGAATTACACATATTACATGACGAAACATCGGATGACACTTTATCGAGCACACACTGACAATGCAAATGAACAGTCTTGATGGGTGGCACACGTATCAAATGGTTTAAATAATACACATATAATCATGTAATGCTGTTAATATTGCTCCCATAGTGACACGAGAATTATATTCACATAATCATTACCTTCGACAATTTATTTGTGAGAGAATTAAATTAAAGCCAAATTCAAGCGAATGTGTGTTTGGCCCGAATATTTGTACAATGGCTCAATTTAGATTTTTCGGATAATGTGCACAAAATTCATTAATAACAACACTAGGCGCATCGTTTATTAGTACCAATTATTCAAACATCTGCATGAAAATGCGTTCGTAAATTTAATGCCATTTTAATTGAGTCTCCGAGTGTACAAACGGAGATGGAAAAAGAGTGATACACATACCGCGCACCATACAATTTTGATTAATAAATTTTCAACCGATTTATTTGCTTTAAACTTAAAACATAAATATTTACTGACATCTCTCTGGATTCGTGTTTTCATGCAAATATCATAATAATTGTATACATTGGTTGTGTTTACTTTTTGTTTCAAATATTTTGCTCAGAATTTATTACAGATGAAGTGAGCAGATTATTTTTTTTGTTGTTGCTCTATCGAGATAAGAGCGGCAAGGCTTCAGTTTACGGAGAGATGATGAATTTATTACAAGGCATAAAATGGGTCGCATCTTAAAAGTAATTTCAAGAATGGCGTTCGGTATCAAACGAGGAGAAATGAAGGTGAAGTTTTTTTGCCCGCCATGAAGAAGTACGGTGTGAAAATTGTAGCGAGTGTAGCCGTGTTCCAATGGTGAAAAGAAATCTAATATTTTATTAGAATCTCATCTCCCCCAAAATTTCGGCGCACATACATCCAACTGACAAAAAAGAGTCAACCATATCATTCCATCACAAATGCACTTCGGTGGTGTTTGAACGAGTCGAAATTCACTTGAAAATTATACGCACGAAAAAGCGTGAACTCTCTGTCTATAATTCATTGCCAAATACAATATTATATGTATATTTGAAGATGAGAAATAGAGAGTGCAACCGTAAATCACTCCACGGAACAATGATAACTGTCGCACAAATAGCGCACGAATGAAGAGTAAACAAAGTGTACGACGACTCGTGTAGAATAATGTGTGGAAGGGAGTGTGGATGTGTGCTAGAAGAATGTAATATTCTTAAAATTCAATTTGCGCTGTTTCGGTTTTGTTTATGTTTCCAGTTCGATTCCATTCGGGTTTTTTGGTACTTCTGTCTTTCTAATTTCCTTTTTGTATGTTTATTTTTGCGATTCCGTCGACTGTCGGCTCCAATGAATAATGAATGAGTGTTTTCTATATATTCGCTTTAATTCGAATCTCATAGAATTCGATATGCTGAAGATAAAAAAAAATCCGACGGATACATAATAGTAGCTCTGAGACTGGGTACGTTGCGCACATATACATTAGGAAAAGTAAAAGATCGATAAAGACCGAATTGAACATGTATATAAATATGTACGATTTACAATTCAAATTATTTCATTCAAAGTATATTAGATCGTCCTTTATCACGTGCTCTCTTCAATGGATTTGTTCCTTTTGCAAAAAATCGGATCAATGTTTTTCCTACACGGACCCGCAAAAGTTTTGTTTTTCGAATAAAATGACGCAACATACGATGGAATTATGGTGATTGAGTGCTTAAACCCAAATTTATCTCTTAATCGTACATAGATTTAGAAAGTAAAACTTTCCGAACAAAATCACATTTTGCCCATTTTGAGTGCAATCAATTCATTACATGCATATATTTGTTTGATTTCCTCATTCTCATGCAAAATCCTTGAAATTCATTGAAACACAAATAAATTCAAAGATTTGCGACAAGCAAAAAAGAAGCCGTGTTAACTGTATTCGCAGCATCTTAATGAGGAGCGAACCAAGTTTGGTGATTAGCACAAAAACAAGCACAAAAGAAATCATCGCCAGAATCTATTAATTCGACTTTTCACATTGTCTCTAGATTTTCGGACGAAACCCAGTGTTAAAACGAGCAAACAACAGCAAACGAACTCTGATTCACTATCTGTAGGACAAAAGAACGAAATAGAGAAATAGAGAAAATCAAGAATACATCACATTCCGAAAAAACGCTAGCATTATGTCATTAGCAGATACATTCATGGATTTAACACGTTATCGGTCAGCTTGTAGTCGTTTTTCCTTCGTATTGATACAATCAAATGGATGGCCAAATGACATGATCAATTTACAAGCCAAAAAAGAAAGGAACGGCAATCCAATTTACACCAATGCAGATACAAAAGAAACACCATGATTTTAAGCTTAACTGCGTCATGCAAAAAGTACAATCGCTCAGAACCAGTGGGAATTTAAGACAAGAACAACTCAACACGAACTAAAGTATTGTGGCTGTTTTTTATATACCCTTTATTGTATAGTGGAAACAGCATGTAATAGGAGAGGCGTCCGAAAGCGCACTTTTTCTTACAGCTTCGTTGCTCGTTCGTCATCACTGATAAGAAGCACATTAATCAATAGCTGCGAAAAGGGACATCCATCTATTCTATTCTTTTGATTCAATGAATTTTGAATAGTTTAGTCGGTTTTCTGTCCTTCGATCGATAGATTTTGTGGCCTAGACAGATTGTTATTTGCTTTTCGGTCGCCTTCAACTCAATGACAAGTTAAACAATAGTCACCAATATAAATAGAAAAGATTGTTGTGCAAATAAATGGTTCGCATTATCTATCTATTTGTCACGTACACATTATGATATTACAATAATCTCAATTTATGTGAACGGCAAAAAGCATTCAAATTCGGAAATGTCGAGAATGCTATTGAAAGTAAAACTCATTCTAAAAGTGTCTTTTTTGTCAAAATTATTATTCGGATGAATGATTCCACTTTGGTGGCATGTTATTTGGAAATTGACACTAAATATTGCTTTGAACTCATTTCAATTGATTTTATATATAATTATCATATCTGTTGCAAGTTCAAACACCATGCAAAGGTATTTAATTACTGTTTGAAGTCACTGTGATAATGAATGGGCATGAGCGTGAATCAAACAGGTCGACACAAACAACAGATAATCACTGCTAATGATGGGCTTTGTTATAGAGTACCAAACAAGTTACAATTAAATATGATGAAAATATGTTTTTATTTCATAAAATTCCAATTTTCAAACACAAAATCATTTATTATGAAAAACTGTATAAAAGGTGAACGCAATGCCAGTTGTAAGCATCAATCTGTGAAAAAAATCTTGGACGATATGAAAGTGTTCGTGAGTTCGTTATTCCTAGTTATTCTAAGTTTGAGTGAACTAGAGGCTGGTGAGCTACGTCGTGACGATAAAGTAATGTATTTTTTCATTTTTAAAACGTTAAACCACATGCATTTTTTAAATCATTAAAATTATGTGAATTTCCGTCAAAAATGAACGCGAAGCGCAGTAATTTCTATAAATTGAAGAAGATGACATCCTTCCATAAACACCCAAATGCCACTAACGACCATAAATAAAACCAAAATTAAATAAATGATTTGCTCTTTATAATTTAATTCATATTTAGTGGCCACCTCCCGAGCTGTTGGTGGCTTTAAAACCGGTTGGAAGCAAATGCCAAGAACAAACTGGGGTCACCAATGGTAAGAGTTCCATAAAATGTCAGTTTGGTGGGTCTTTAAGCATTTTAGTGGCATTGTTTTATTGCAGAGGCCATTAAAGAATTCAGTGATGGAGAAGTTCACGAAGACAGAGCGTTAAAATGTTATATGTCGTGTTTATTTCATGAATTGTGAGTAATTTATACTCTATATCAAATATGGAATTCGCCATTTGAATGTGAATAATTAATGTTGGTCCCATTTATTTTAGCAATGTGGTTGATGACAATGGGGATCCACATTTTGAAAAAATCCAAACTCACGTTGATCGATTTGATGAGGAAATTCGACATATCGCCAACAAACTTGTTGCAGCTTGTCAAAACCCGCAAGGACAGGACAAATGTGAACGGGCGTTTTCAATTCATAAATGCTGGAAAACCACAGATCCAAAGGTATTTAACGGGAATATATTCAGTAATTCGATTAAAATGAATGTTCTCTTTGTGTTTTGTTTGACAGCATTATTTCTTGGCTTAAAATGAACAACTTTTAACTGGATTTCATTCTTTGACTTGAAATGGACAAAAAGGGCCTCTCTTTACTTTTCTGCACCAGACATATAGTTGTCACATTTTACTTTATCAAATATTAAATTCACAAAAATCGAACGTTCCAACATGAACTTTGTTTTATTTATGAAAGATATAGAAGGAGTTGTGAATTCATACAACCCTTACACTCCTGACTCATAAAATAATATCAAATTGACGACATTTTGTTATAGTAAAAAATCGATATCATTAGCATTTTTTCGCCCGTGTTGTAATTTTTACCCGTCAGTCGGTTTCAACTCAATTCCAAGTAGAATGCTGAACTCGACTCGCTAATAAGTAAGTTTTGATTTACCGTAAAATTGTTTAGCTCTTGAAAATCTCTTCGTGGGCTAATACCTTTGGTTTGCAAGTTTGTTTGCTACGGTTTGTTATGCGGAATATTTTTTGGTATGAAAACAGTAAGCCACTTGCTTGAATTGTTTGAGCCGTCAATGAACATCAACCGCAAATAATTGCATTACCCGAATGCTTTAACTTTGCATATAATACAAATTCTACCTTCCTCAAACTCAAAGTTGTGGAAACGTGTTACACTCGGTTCAAGCCTGTCAGAAAAGTTTGGTGCATACGGTGTGGGGTGGATCGATTATTGAACGAGATTGTGTCGACTTGAATAATATATCGACAAAATTGATTGGCCGACATAGTAAGCGAAGTCGACAGAATGTCTGTCGAAACACTCAATCAAAGTAGCACCGTGTGATTCAATATATCAAATGTAAATGTTCTATTTTAGGTTCATTGGTGTGTGATTTTCATTTCGAGCAGGAGATTGACATCGTTGAAGTAGATACGTTGACCGCAGGGTGTGATATAACCAAGTGATATTGGGGTTTTAATACGGTATTTTCATTTGTTATGATGCACTGTCAAGTGCTGTTTCAATGAACAAAACCAATTATTGGTTAATTTACTTAATTATATCGATGGTTGCGATCCGAGATTCTCATTTCTTCAAACAATTATACAAGAAATATATTTGATAACTATGAGTAGTTGTGTGAAGAGTTCGTTACTGCCAATATATATTATAATGCACTTTTTCTGGAAAAGCGAAAATTCTTTCGATTTGCTAGGGTTTTTGGATCCGATAGAACTTTTTCCGATTTGCTAGGGTTTTTCGCAGAAAAAAATTCTTTCAATTTGCTAGGGATTTTAGAAAATTTGTCTGATTTGCTGGAGCATTTATAGTTTTTCGAAAAATCACTCCCCTCCCGGAAAAATTTCCTCGCACAGTACTGCTTCAGAAGTATACAAGGGCGCTGAAAGTTTGCAAGACAGATAACCGCCCCCTTAAATCATTCGATCTACTCCTTTCAGTTGTCCCTTCGATTTACTAGGGTTTTGATTGACGGATGGACCCCCTAATTTTCGACCATGCCTATTTATCTTCTGAAGCTATGACATTTCTTCATTTTTCTGCAAACTATGTTGGAGGTAAAATGTTTTGGTTTGAACACCCTCAATGCAATTATAACTTATGATTTCTTCTCATTTTCTGAATTAATCAAAGTAAATAATTTTCATTTTCAGATTTGAATTATTTGCTAAGATACGACAAACACCAAAGTGAATGGTAATTCCGTTGTTTTAATTAACTTTTCAATGCAAACACAAAGAAATTCCAATTTAAACGAAAAATATATTTGCAAATTGTCAAGAAAAAAAAACTTGCTAATCTGTATAAATTCAATGGCAATTTCACTCTCATTTCGCTTTGCGAATATACTGTTGTAAGTCAATCTCATTCAAATTTGATGTTTCGTACGACTTTAGCACGGGAATGAATCGTACATAAATTAACCATTGACAAATAATTACAATTCTTGTAAACATCCCCAAATTTTCTGGCTTAGTCACACCGTTTGTAATGCCATTGTTAAACGCACACAAAAAAGGTGATGCAAATGGTGCATAGAATAAACACCAATGAGAAATCACCACTTCGAGCAAAGTCTGTCTAGTCAAAGTCTGTTTTGCCCATAAATATTAGTCATCGTGGCAACCGACCCGAAAGTAATTCAGAGTCTTGAATCTGTATTATACACCGGAAAAAAGTGAACGACAAATAAACAGAGGAGAAAATTTATGCACTCCAATTACGTTGGGTTGAATTCAGTCGAGATTTTTTTTACTCGACTCTCTCATACTATAAGCAAATGGTCTTCAATATCGTTGAATAAAATATTCCGATTCCGTCTGACATAAAAGAGAGTTATACATAAATTCTTTTGATTCATGTCAAAAATCCAGAAAAAGAAAAACAAATCCGGACACATGATGAATTGGGTCGGAGTCATAAAAAATTGGTCAACCATCAATGAGACGGCATAGTAGGATAAAAAAGAATATGTTGCTTAATGATATCCGCCACTTACCTTAATACACTCCTCTTGAGATACGTTCTGTCGTTCAGCCTTTTTCGCTTCAATTTTTCCGTACATTGCTGCTGCTTCTTCACCAAAATACGATTTTTTCTGCAATCATTTATAGTCGTTCAATTCGTTGTATGGTTCCGAAATGGTGTACGCTGCAATGAAATTGAAGTGAGACTGAATCAAATGAGTCATGTCGTAAGTAAATTTACATATACATTTTAATGTTTAAAAGATTAAAGCAAATTGAAGCGTAATTAGCGCCCACGAACTTTGTGGTTTTTCAGCAATTGCAATATATTTTCCACATATAACGTGCAAGAGCTCTAAATTAGAGTCTCACATATAAATCAACTAATCAACATGAAATTGCTCCCATGGAACTTAACACAATTTCCTCATACCCGGCCACCACCAAACAATTACATCGTGTATGAACGTTCAATGGTTTCAACAACTGCTTCCGCTTTCGCCCCCTTTTTTTGCACAAGCCTTGCAAATTTCACAAACACTTCTCTCATTCATCATGAGAAAAGAGCCAACATACTAAATTTGCCATGATATTCGGTATGCACCAAAAAACACTTCGCACCGACCTCGTATGGAAAATACAAAATTTTCACACTCAAAACACGACGAACTCATTTACATTCAAGGGTATGCCATCTTTTCCGAAATAGACACATCTCACACTTTCTTTTTTGCCCATATTTCATTGCAATAATCTACGGCGGAAAATCTAAATTAGTTATTTATATTCTGATAACTCTTCAGATGGCATTTCGTATTCCGATATGTGGTTTTATTTGACGGGGAATTCGTTCATTTTATTACTTGTCATCGTTTTTCCATTTACTTCATCATTTCATTGATCGAATAGATATTTTCTCGTATATGAGCGTTCATCAGCTCCGAACCCCGTGAAAAATGTTTATTCATGTAAATTATACGACTTCTTATTGTTGACAATTTTTTCGATTCACTGTAATGTGCCGGCACTATGATGATATATGTGCGAACGACATTCATCACATCATTTCGAATATGTTCCGTCTGTAACATTGAACGAAAAACTTTTGCCGGTTCAAATGATGCATATCAAACAGTGTTCCATTAAAATCAATATGATTCATCATATATGAATAATGCTTTAATATATGTTCACCATTGACATTTTGTTGTCACTTTCATTTACGAATTCGGTGATGTTGTGGCGTGGTATCTTTTTCGGTCCTATTATGATAAATCGAATTACATTTATATATATAAAAATTGTAATTGAAAGTGGCGAAAAAGAGAGTCATTTTCATGCAAAGTGAGTGTGTTATTCAGATCGTTGAAGACACCGTCGTAAATTATAAATCAAAGAATCATTGTCAAGATAAGAGTACACAAGATACATCATCATTGTCAAGCGAACGACAGATAACGGTATGTTTATTTAAAATCAATCAATGTTGTTTTGCATTCGTTGTCGATTTGTTTACATTTGCTTGAATGGTTTTGAGAAGCGTTTGGCGCATACATTGTTATGTCTCTCATTTTTTTTTCGCAGATGGGAGCCGTCTGGTTCACAGCTTTTAAAAATACACAGAAAGTACTCAATTTACATGAAACAAGCGCATGTAAAAACAACGATGGTAAAATTTCGACTAACGAAATAATTTATTTGCATACTAATATGGTTTGATATATACCATCGGGGAATGGAAAATGTTCCGTTCCATTGGAATGTGTGCTGGGTGTGTGAGAGCCAATGCATTTGCCAATATAAACAGAAAAAGCACATCATAAACACAAAAAGCCAAACATTGAGAGAGAGAAAAACCAAACAAATTTCAACGAAGTTTATAACGGTCGCAAAGTTTTCAGGGGATGAACTTGAACTCAACTGTTTAATGGTGTTGCTTTTATTGTAAGCGTCGGGGTTGAATTGATGGCTTTAAGTTTTAACGAGTTTTGTAATTTTATTGATGTCTCTGTGGCAGGAGAGTATTTTCGAATGATTGTGAGAGAAGAGAATTTTTTATTAGAAATGTGGTGTCGTCTTCATGTTTTGTGTTTTAAAATTGAATAATAGTTTTTGTATCTCTTTAAATAACTTGCATGCGAATCAAATTATCAAAAAATAACAAATTAATCAATTCAGAATAATTCGCGATTTTCGAGTATTCGAAATGTGATAGCTCGGCAATAAAGCATAACCGTACACCCGGTACGAGGGTGGCCAATTTCGAAAATATGCCCATTTATTTAATTTGCCGTCATAAAGGAATTAAAGCGAATGAAAATGTTCATGTTTCAATGCGTGCAATGGATAAATAAATAAATATTGCTTTATAATGTCACCCGAAAATCTGTGTGAGTGAGCACAACAAAGCACTGCCATCGTAATATTATAATTATTACCTTTAATTTGTGGTGTGTTGTCATAAATTGAAAAAAGCAATAAACAAAACCATTATAATAAAATATTTATGCGTACACATTCCAGTTGAATACAGTCAACGTATGTCATTCCGTCCATCAACATACACAAATAAACCATGGCAGTAGTTTTAGCCATTAATCTTAGTTTTTGATGTGAGATCTAGATTTGGTGCCGTACGCCGCATAGGTTAAACAATTCCAAACCTTTGCGTGTAAATGATAGTTAAATCATATATGTGTGAATTCACACAAGGCAC